ATTGTAAGTACTTTTTCGATTATGAATTTACGTCTGTTTACTAATAATCAAATAACTGTTGATTTGTTCCTTTTTTTTTAGTTGTGGTAATACACCACTTCACTGTGATAGTTCAATGAATGATACTTTTGCTACTTTATGTCAACCACGATGTGGGCCAGGTTTTTGTTGTTCGAAATGGGGATTGTAAGTATTGTTTAGATTATGAATTCACGTCTGTTTACCAATAATCAAGCAAACTGTTGATTTATTTCTTGTTTTCAGTTGTGGTAATACACCACTTCACTGTGCTGGTCAAATAAATGATACTTTAGCTACTTTATGTCAACCGCGATGTGGACCGGGTTTATGTTGTTCGAAATGGGGATTGTAAGTACTTTTTCGATTATGGATTCACGTCTGTTCACCAATTATTAAGTAAACTGTTGGCCTGTTTCTTATTTTTAGTTGTGGTAATACACCACTGCACTGCAATGGTGGCGAAATTGTTCCACCAATTGATAATGGTCGATGCCCACCACCATGTGCACCTGGCCTTTGCTGTTCAAAATGGGGATAGTAAGAATCGCTCAAGCTGAAAATTTCATTCATTTTTATTGAATAATAAAATCAAATTTTCATCTTTTCTTTCGTGCGCTAAGTTGTGGTAGTACACCTGAATATTGTGATGATCAAACTGGAAGTGGTAATAACAGTGCTTTGATCACTCGAGAACAATTTGATTGTATTTTTGATCAATTAGATCCAGCTACCCGTGATAAACGCTGGCAAGGTAAATATACTTTGATAATTCTAAAATTCCACTATCAAAATATTGCGAGTCAGACAGAGTTCTATTTAAATGATTTCGATGAAACCTTCTCATCATTAATTTTCTGCTTTCGATGTCCGCAAAACACATAATGCATAATTTATAATTTTTAGAATACAATTATCATCGTTTGTTCACTGAAATTTGTTAAATATTCTTGTTCATAGTCAATACAATAAATGGTAGTTCCTTCTATCTTTGAGAATACTTTGAAACGTTAAGATATTTAACTCCTTGACAAAAAAAAGATTGATTTTCCAAAATGCCAAAGTCACATATAAATTGTCCTGTATTATTCAATAGCGCTCTTCATTTTTTTTCAAAACGATGGTTTTCATGTGTTATCGATGATCTTGAATCCAGTAGATGATGTCTTGACTCAGAATCAACGTAGCAGATTCAAACAAAGGAGTAATCAATCGGTCATATTGATTTTTAGATCTCTAAAATTGAATGATTCCAATTTTACTATGTAAAAGCCTTTCGATAGTATCTCTGAACATTCGTATTTGTTTTTGAATACACTTCATGTCATAGTCAGTTTCTAGTAATTTCTTTTTCTAAAAGTTAATAATTATTTAATATTCTCAAATGTTTTTCGATGAATAAGTGTCATTTTTTATGAAAAACAGATCTTGCTCATAAGGAAAAAAAGGTGAAATTTTGAGGGCAAATATTTTTCATCTTTGCAAAGTATAGTCTTATAATTACAAGTCAAAAACTTTTGTTCTACTGAATAAAGAATTTGACCAAAACAATAGTTCTTTACTGTTGTGTGAGACGAAATCTACATGAATGAAACAAAGTTTTTCTACTCATTGATGACAGTTGAGTGTATTGGTATACCAATTTAGAATCAAATCTTAGTTCATCGAATTCGGTTTAATCGAATAGAAAGTTTTCTTTGTTATCACAGAAATATCGACTGATAGAATCTTTGCAAATTTAATAGAATTTATTTCAATTGAAAAACCCAGCGATTCTCTGGATGTTTGTTTTAATATTTGACTTTATTTCCTCAAGATGTAACTCAAATGAAAAAGACTATATAATAAAATCTGCGAAAGTTTTCCAAGTATTTGAGAACAAAAAGTAGTTCAATTGATGAACGTCTTCAGATAAACATAAATTCATCTACTTGTTCATTTGCATTACGTTTGCCTCAGAAAAAAAACCATTGTGGGTATTTAAATCTTGCATAATAGTTGCTCTACTTATTGAGGTTTATTTGGACTGAAAATTCTATGATTTTATGAACCATAATTGTTCATAAGTGTTGAAGCATAGAAGAAAAGTTATCTTTATTTGTAAAAGCATTTATTTATATTTGTACTTTAGGTTATCAAGAAGCATTGACAATGACGCCATTTCAACCACAAAATCAGAATGAAGTTATGATTTTTTTTTCACATGTATCGCATGAAACAGATGGTTTGAAAACTTATGAAGAGTATTGTGGACAATCAGGTGCATGCGCTGATGATTATCAAGGCTCATGGTGTCCTCCAGTTCAGGGAGAACCTGGTAAACAGTACTATGGTCGTGGTTGGTTTCAGTTATCATGGCCATGTAATTATAAGGGAGCTGGTGATGGACTTGGTGTTGATTTGTTGAAAAATCCGCAGCTAGTTGCTGAGTCCGATAAGTTAGCTGCAGCAACTGCACTCTGGTTTTGGAATGCTAATAATATGGGTCAACCAGCAAGAGATGGCAATTTTGGCGGAACAACACAAATAATTAATAGTATTGAATGTGGACCAAAACCCCAACAGGATAGCAGAGTTAATCATTATCAAAAAGTTCGACGATGTTTTGGTCTTCCTCCAGCAACTAGTAATTTAAAGTGTTAAAGAAACAAAATTGAACAGACATTTTCAGTGTTCGTTCTTTTACTTGTTTACCACTTTTTTGTATTCATGTGGCTGCAATTAAGATCTCAAATATTGAAAATAAACTGCAGAAAAGTTTATATAGTATTATAAGTGATAAAAATCGATTGCATATTATTGAAATACTTTGATTTATTTTTGTGGAACACGATTTAAAAAGATTGTTGATACAGAATACTTTTTTTATTGCATTTCTGGAGGATTAAGTAAAAAGAAACTGAAGAAATATGTTCCAAAATAGATAAAACAAAGCAATCAACAGTTGATGTATCGTCTGTCACATATTAATCTTAAGGAGCTTCTATCAACAACTATCTTTTATCAATTTAAAGTGTTAATGGCTATGGAAAAGCCAGCAAATTCATTATACATGCAAGAATCGAAGTTTTTTTCTTTAATTTTTAAACTTTTCAACTCGATTTTTAGCTAATCCACATTAAAATCTAGGAATTTAGTGTGCAACAGAGAGCGCCAAAAGATGTTGCAAATCAAAAGAATGTTGATGACAAGAGGAATTGTCGAAAACTTGAGTTACATAGTTGACAGTTCGAAACAAATTAACGAGTACTACACTAGTAGTACCATGTAAACTCTTCATTGTCTTTACTAAAATTTTTGTACATAAACTAACCATTGTATTCTGTTAATTCTTTAACGAAAGAATAAAGACCTGAAAATTTCAGAAGTCATCCGTTTGTTTCCAATATTCAAGAAGTAATCTGTTGACCTTGATTAAAATTGGTTAAGAACAATCAAACAAATCCACTCATAATGTATATTTTCACAAAGATCGAATCGAAAACAACTGATTTTGATATATTCCACTATATAAATCATGAACTGGAATAGTTTAATATCTCATCGTTTCATTTTTCCTTAATAAAAATCAATGTTAATGTTTTAAGAAAGGGACACACATCAAGGTTCAAAAAAAAAGCACTATTATTGCTTTTATTTCGACACATTTAAACAAATTTTTTGTTTATATGTAACGCATTTGGGTGATTTATTTTGCATTTCCAGCATGTTTCTTCAACTTACAATGCTATCTGAAACCTCATTCGAACGCATTTTTTTTAGTGTTCTTCTATTGAAAAAAAATGATATTTTTGTACCAAAGCGTTCGATGAACATTACAATTCGTACTTTGTGCATGAACATCGTTTCACGAAGTAAGAATTTGCTTTCAACTCAGACAGCCATTTTACGGTATAACACAGAAAAAATATATTGTGTCAATAGGTCTATTATAAAGATAAATTTTTATACTGTGGCATAGTAGGATGTTGGAGATAAGTGTAAGTGTGGAAAGGGTCAGAGAAATTAAATTTATCCTGTTTTGCTTTGATGCTTTTCAAGCTTCTATGCCTGACATATTTTTCTTTCCTTAATTCTTTTAAATATGACTTGGATGGTCATGTTTTATTCGTCTACACTATATCCTTATCAATCTCTTCGTAGCTTGTCCAGTCCAATAAATAATTGACACATGGCCATTAAAATGCATATCGATTCGTTCAACAACTATTTTGATCATTTTATAGTCATTGATTCTATTTTTCAGAGTTTTGCACTAATTTAAATATTTTTATAGTTTCTAAGACTTGTATGATTAATTAGTCTTTGATTTCAAACCATCGTATTATACACAAAATTCAAGAATATAGCTTGAATTTCACTCTTTGAATTGATTGAAATTTTCGATCGTAAAATCAAACTTAGGAGTAATCAGAAATAGTTAGTTTTTCATGATTTATAAATCTTACACGAAATATATTATAATTTATGTATAAAGCTAACAGCTATTGCTGTTTCTATAAAATCAAGTTATGTTCATTATTATTTTTATCATCGTATTTATTTATCAAGTAAAAAGAATCAGAAAATATCAGAATAGGCAGAGTTAAATTTTATTTGACAACACTTTTTCGGATAAAATAGCATATTCAACCCATGGCGAACTAATCTGGCGATTCAAAAGCATCTATACAAACTCATTTTCTTGGATGACACTTTCAAAACGAAACATTTACAATTATTTTATCTTAATAGCTCTGATAAAAACATGATCTTGAACATAACTATGACAACTTGTTGACATGTTTGACTTTTTTCTTACGCTTTTCACTGAAAGAGAGTTTATGATACTCTGGGTTTTTCTAAAAATATATTTTTATATTGATTACTAAGATAATTACTAGCTACTATAGTGTTACTTTTCGAAATCGTACAATGTAACTTTATACAATGTTTATTGATATAATCACTGATGACAAAGATAGAGTTCTCTTTTTCTATGCTGCTTTCTTTCTAAATAGAAAAGTTATTTGTTATTCTGGACATTTCTTCACAATTTGTTTACTTGTTCGTGTTTGTAGAAATATCTATGCTCAAATATAGTATAGTTAGAAGATAGATCTTCACAAGCATACATGAAAATGTAAGATGAACAGATATTGCCAATTTTTCATTACATATTTGAACGGACTAGGTATTTGATTAGATATATTTTAATCTTTTTTTTTCATCATTCTAGGTGGTTCTTTAGCATTTGTGTTATTTCCAAAGAAAGACTTGTAATATACATGAAGAACGATTGTACATATAAATGGTGACGACCATATGGTGAAAAACTGTCACAAAAAATGCCTGAAAATAGATTTTTTGTAAGGCATTATAACGATTGCTTTGAATTAAATGAGAATGGTTTAAAAAGTAACATCTTAATGACATATTCAAGAATCATTTTTCGGCATTTTTGTACCAGTTTTTTTATCATTTTTTGAGTCATTCTAATGGCATTTTTTCCTTGCAATCCTTGCCTGGGCAAACAAGTTCTTTTTCTTTCTTTGATAAATTCATTCTTTTCACTGAATCAAGTTAGAGTGCATATTTAATACATAAAACTAGAGTATTTATGGAAAAAACATATATCGATCATTTTAGTTTTTGTTTTTATTCCGTAGAACCAATCAGTTTTATGAAAGTAATCCTCGTAGCGCGAACCATATGATTCATTCAAGTGACGTCCTCAACTGATATTTACATTGACAAAACCAAGACATAACATTAAGACCAAGTCAACAGGTAACTATGCAGAATGAGTTGAAAATTAGCGAAATTTACTCGAAAAATTCGGACGGCATTGGTATAACAGCATGATCACACATGAGAAGTGTCTGATGAAAGAATTTTGGCTGTAATTTTATTTTTTGAAGGATATGCTTCATTGAGCAAGTCAAAAAAAAACAGAATAAAAAAAACTTATAGGTAATATTTTACTTTTGTTAGTTAATTGATAATGCAATCGATCGTTCTATATTGTAAGACAAATGCGCTCATTGACTGACAATGAAATTGCATAATAATTATTTCGTTTATTCAAGATCTGTGAATTATCATATTCACTATTCAATTCGAAATTTGTTCACTTTTTATTTTCCACGATTTGAATTCAATTTTCGAATTTCATCGTACGATATATTAGCAATGGTTTAATTTTCTTTTGGTCAAACTTTTTCTATAAGATTTTTCACCAACGAAGTAAGTTGAATAATACTTTAATACTAATTAAACTAATAATGGTAGTTAAAAATTTCATAAAATTTTAATTGGAGTAGTTTTATCAATGCTTATTATAATCTATTAATTGCTTTGATAGATATGAATAATTAGAAAACAAATAATGTTTTTTCTAGTCATTATTTCGATCAAAGAATCTTTTTAACCTTTCGAATGATATCAAGACAAATCTTTTTGAAATAAATTTATGGTATTGTTCTATTATCGTATCGATACAATAATTATAGTATTATATCAATGGATACATTGAAATTTTAGTGAACGAAAGAGAGATTATTCAAAAAACAAATTTTTTGTTTTTTTTTGTTTGTATTTATATTTGATTGACATACTGTACATAAGCAAATCATCAATTGCTATCGTCGATCATACACGTTAAATATTTTTTGCATGCAGCAAAATATGTTTTCGCTCTATGCATGATTGCTCTTGACGCAAACGTTTGTCAGTTTAACAAGCATGAGTTGATAGTCATACAAAAAATATTTTCTAACTAAATGCATTTATAATAAATTTCAACACATAAATCGATTTTTAAAATGATATATCATTGATAAATATTAAAAATTTTTGTTTTTTTGATGATATAGTGGTCTAAATATAATAGAATAAAATGATATAAATCGATTTTAAAAGTTATTTTAATTAATCAATAAATATTAAAGTGGACCTATAATAATCTTGATCATTGATTTGCGATGTTTCATGAATCACTATTACACAATAATAGGTACTAAATAAATAATGGAAATGATTATGTATATGCATACACTTTAATTATACTATAATGCTGTGATTGTTTGATAAAAGTCCTAAAAATATATTACTGAGTAATTTGAATGATTGTATCATAGCATTGAAATATCGATCTTTGTATTTCAATGTATATTTATATTTTATTCATAGAAATCGATTTGTGTATCTAAATGACAAATGTTAATATGACAAGAAACACATTTAGTTATTTAAATATAAAACAGTTATTGGTTATAATAATATCTAACATGTATCTATATATAGTGTTTACCCTGTCATATGTTTAGTTCAATATAAAAATTTTTCATACTAAATAGAACTATATATATATAATTGATGGTTTTTGTTTTAGATGGATATAGAAACAAATTCAACAAATCATGATAATCATGAAAATGAATCAAAAAGTAGTACAGTTATTTTATTTTTATCATTTGCTATATTATTAGCATGTATGTGTAAAATAATATTTTCAAGAATTTTAAGAAATAAAATTCCACTTCCATTTACGATTGTTGTTCTTATTTTGGGATTTATAATTGGTATTATTGTAACAGAAGTAAAAAATAGACATAATGATTTTTTCTTTGGTGAATCTCAATTAAGTCAAATAGATCCTCATT